GTCCATTAGTCCCCGCGTCGTCTTAGTAATTCTACCAGACACAAAAGGCAAAATGAGAATTTTAGAATTACGGAATTTTAAAATTAAACACTCGAAAATAATTAATTGAGAATTAATTATTATTTAAATAATGTGATTATTTAAATTTAAATTTAAAAACATCTAGATTTATCCATTTAAACTTATTTGATAATTTGAATTTGAGTCAAAATTGGACTACAAGATAAAGGATGATTTTCTCTTCCTTCTCTATCTGATATTGGCGCCACACAGGGATGAGAATCCCCATCTTGGCCGGCCACACTAAGGGATAAGGGATAGAGGAGATTTCGTTTCGAAATTCAAATTTGAGATAGGGATTTGATTCCTTCTAGAAGTTTGACTTCTACTCTATAAATAAGAGAATAGTAGAAAATTGTGGACACAATTTTTGTGACAATTTTTGAAACAATTTTCAGAATTAATTTTTGCCCTAATTTTAGAGGTGGCCGAAATTTTCTAATAGAGAGAAGGAAAAGTTTTTCTCCAAAAAATTCCACATCGTGCATGCGTTGGTGTTTGTGGAAATTCGAGTGTTTATTGTAACCCGTTTTGTCTCATGTGTGCCCACACACACGTCTTCGTGGATTCAAGGAATTGACGTGGAAGACATTGGTTTTCTAAAAACAAAGCTTTGGAGCAAGGATTGTTCGAGGTCAAAGAACTCAAGTTATCAACCGAGTCGGCCTCCAGGTATTTTTCCTAATTGAGTTCTTAATAAATGAATTAATGAGATTAATTTATTCGTGCATAAATTAATATAATCTATAGAAGTATCTCAAAGGTTTTATGAAAATTTTTGTTATACACGATCCGCCTCCCCGCACCACGCTTCCGCATCCGAATTTGATTCGGAGACCAACAGTAGGTCCCTGGGCGTACCAGCTCCTTGATGTGGTAAGGTCCTTCCCATGTTGGGCCCAGAGGACCAGTATTTTTTGGCTTTCTGCTTTGCGTCACCCTTTCTAATACTAGATCCCCTGGGACGAACCTCCTTTGCTTGACCTTATTATTGTAGTATCGTGCCGTTCTCTGTTGATAAGTGGCGAGGCATAATTGAGAATTGAGCCTTTTTTCTTCTAAAAGGTTGAGTTCCCCATTTAGTGCTTCCGTGTTTGCGTCGTCGTCATACACGACTGTTCTTAGTGCTGGCGTCATGATTTCCACGGGGAGAATCACGTCGGCGCTATATGTCATTGAGAAGGGTGTTTCACCCGTGGTAGTTCGACTCGTCGTCCTGTATGCCCATAGGACCTTCGGGAGTTCTTCAGTTCATCTTCCCTTCAAGTCATCTAGCCTTTTCTTCAAAGTGTATTTTAGGATCTTGTTAACGACCTCAACTTGGCCGTTGGACTGAGGATGTATTGGAGCTGAGAAGTCCTTTCGTATGCCCAAGCTATCGCAAAATTTGCATGTTGAGGCGTTGTTGAACTGTCTTCCGTTGTCCGATACGATCGAATGTGGGACTCTGAATCTACACACAATGTTGTTCCATATGAAGTTGGTGCAGACTGCCTCCGTAGTCATAGTTAGGGCTTTTGCTTCAGCCCATTTAGTGTAGTAGTCTACCGCAACGATGGCAAATTTGAAACCCCCGGGCGTGAGGTGTAAGGGCCCAATTAGGTCAATCCCCCATTTGGCAAAGGGCCATGGGCTAAGAATGGAGGTTAGACTTTCCGGGGGCGCTCTAGGAATCGAGGCATATTTCTGGCACTTATCACAACGCCGAGCATATTGAAACGCATCCTTTTTTAGGGTGGGCCAATAGTACCCCTGCCTCAAAACCTTAAGAGCCAGAGATTGCCCCCCAGCGTGATTTCCACACACCCCTTCATGTATTTCCCGGAGGACTCCTCGCGCCTCCTCGTCATTTAGGCATCGTTGCAAGGGTGTTGAAAAGCCCCTCCGGTATAACATTCCATCATACAATAGGTACCGGGCTACTCTGTATTTAATCCGCCGTGCTTCCTCTTTATCATCGGGTAGTTTTGCGTCTGCTAAGTATTGGATGAGTGGAGTCATCCAATTCTCGATCGTCTGCACGGTCCAGGCTTCGTCCTGCTCGTCAATGGTCGGCCGCTGAAGCTCTTCAATGGGGACGACTTTTAATATGTCGGAGTCTTTTGATGATGCAAGTTTAGCCAGGGCGTCGGCGTTTGCATTTTCAGCTCTGGGTACCTGTTGTATCTCATAACTCTGGAATTTTACAAGTTCATTTTTTACCTTTCTTAAGTATGCACCCATTCTTTCGCCGCGGGTTTGGTATTCTTCCCTTACTTGCCCGACGACCAGTTAGGAGTCACTAAAGATGCGGATTATTTGAACTTTCAAATGACCGGCCAATCGCAATCTTACGATAAGTGCTTCATATTCTGCCTCATTGTTCGACGCCCTGAACTGAAATCGTACTGCCGAGGTAATCTTGTGGCCTTCTGGGCTGATGAGCATGACGCCGGCTCCTAACCCCGCTTCGCTCGATGCCCCATCCACATAGAGTTTCCACTCGACTGCCTTGGCCTCTTCGTCTAGGGACGGAGCTGGTCTGTCTGAGAATTCTGCCAGGAAGTCTGCCAACGCTTGTCCCTTGATCGCTGCCCGTGGTACATATTCGAGGTCGAATTGGCTCAGTTCTACCGACCATTTGAGGAGTCGACCGGACGTCTCAGGCTTTTGTAGTGCTTGTCTTAACGGATGGTTCGTTAAGACCCGTATGGTGTGGGCCTAGAAGTAGTGTCGAAGTTTCCTTGAGGCCACCATCAGGGCGAGGGCCAGCTGTTCCATCTTGGTGTATCTAGACTCGGCGTCCAAGAGCCTCTTACTCACGTAATATACGGGTAACTGGATTCTTTCTTCACTTCTGATGAGCACTGAACTCACAACATGTTTAGATACAGAGAGATAAAGACTTAGTTTCTCACCTGGAATTGGCTTTTACAAAATTGGGGACCTGCCTAAATGCTCTTTTAGCTTTTGGAAGGCTTCTTCACACTGTTGCGTCCACTCAAACCGCTTACTACCCCATAAAGTGTTAAAGAATGGTACATATTTGTCTGTTGCTTTTGAAATGAACCTATTGAGGGTGGCGACGCTTCCCGTTAGTCGTTGTACCTCCTTCGGGTTTGTGGGAGACCTCATATGGGTTTGTGGGAGACCTCATATCTTGCAAGGCTTTAATCTTTTCTGGGTTGGCATCTATCCCTCGGCTACTGACCATGAAGCTGGGGAACTTCCCAGATCTGACTCCGAAGGCACACTTCAGGGGGTTGAGCTTCATGTGATGTCTTCTTAGTACGTCGAACATTGCCCCCAAATGAACGACGTGTTGAGCAGCTTTGGTGCTTTTTACCAGCATGTCATTGACATACACCTCCATTGATTTTCTGATTTGGCTAGCAAACATTTTGTTTACTAGCCTCTGGTATGTTGCCCCTGCGTTTTTTAGGCCAAAGGGCATTACCTTGTAACAGTATAGACCCATGTCGGTTATGAATGACGTATGCTCTTCGTCAGATGGATGCATGGGGATCTGGTTGTATCCTTAGTAGGCATCCATAAAGCTTAGCGTTTCATGACCGGCTGTGGCGTCGACCATTAGGTCGATTTGGGGAAGAGGAAACCCGTCCTTAAGACATGCTTTGTTGAAGTCGCTGAAATCAACGCACGTCCGCCACGTCCCGTTTGGTTTGACAACTAGAACGGGGTTCGAGACCCATCGCGGGTAATGGGCCTCCCTGATGAAGTCGTTGTTGATCAATTTGTCGACCTCTTCTTTTAGTGCCTCGTACCTTTTTGGGTTCATTGGTCGGCGCTTTTATCGTTTGGGGGGATGCGAGGGGTCGACGTTTCGGGTGTGACATATGACTTTAGAGTCGATCCCTTCCATGTCAGCGTGAGTCCAAGCAAAGACATCCAGGTTCTTTGTGAGGAAACTTTCGAGTTCACCCCTAAGTGGTGGGGGTCAAATCTGAGCCTATCTTCAGCACCTTTGTTGGTTCATCCTCGTCGACCTGGATCTCTACTAACTGCTCGACGGGCTGAGACCACACGGCCTCCTTCAGGACCCTTAGGTCTATATCTTCGACGGCGCCCTGATTGACCATTCTCGTCTCCTGCCTTCCTGGCTGATCGTATCCGCGCAAGGCATCGGAGTATGCAACCCTAGACTCGTAGTGGTTGCTCTTCATTTCACCTACTCCGTTTGGGGTGGGGAATTTAACCTTCTGGTGGTAAATGGAGGTTACTGCCCTCAGCGTCTGAAGAGTCGGCCTTCCAATTACGGCATTATATTGTGACCCTCCTTTTAGTACCACAAAACTAGCCATCATTATGATTTGTCGAGGCTTCTCCCCTGCGGTTATGGGCAGCCGGATTGTCCCTTGGGGGATGACGGAGTCCCCTGTAAATCCATACAACGGCCGGGAGGTTCTTTCCAATTGCTCCTTCGGGATCCCCATCTTCTCCAGGCAATCGGAATATAAAAGGTCCACTGAGCTCCCGTTGTCCACCAGGATCAGGCACACAGTGTGATTTTCAATCAAGGCTTCGACCACCAAGGCGTCGTTGTGGGGGAAGTGAACCCTGTTTGCGTCGTCCTCACTAAATGCTAAGTCAATGCTGCTGACCCTGGTTGATTTGGCAGCCGAAACATTCCAAAACCTTTCTTGGTACACCCCTTTGGCTTCGTGGGCATAGTCCTTCTGGGATCTCCTTGAGTCTCCTCTGAGGTACAGGCCGCCGAGGACAGTTCTTATGACGCCGATGGGTTCTCGTTCATCCGGGTTCCGTGGTTCGTCCCGGCATCTCCCGTCATTTTAGCCGCCAAGGCCGTCGTTTCTTAGTCTCCGCTCGGCCTTGAATTCCTGCAGCCTTCCCTCGCGGATTACTCTTTCGATCTCATCTTTGAGGTCGGCGCAGTCGTTGGTGTGGTGACCGATGTCGCCGTGGAACCTGCAGTATTTATTCTTGTTCCTCCGGCTGGGGTCTGATCTCATTGGTTCTGGTCGGCGCAGCAGGTCCCCGCGACCGACCTGATTAAACACCTCTTCAACCCCCATAGTTAATTCATGATATGAGTCGTACCTTCGGAACGGTCGAGGCTTGTGGTTTTCCTCTTGCCTCAGCTTCTTGGCCTCTAGAGTGTTCGACGTTGAAGCAGGCTTCTTGTCTCCGCTTCTTCCACCTCGTCGCTTCTTTCCGTCCGGCTTTCCCGCAGTCGACCCTTACTTTGTACCTTTGTTTTTATTTGACCTGTGCTCGGGGTCGTTCGTGTCTGCTTCCTCGGCATTAATGTATCCTTGCGCTCGTGCGAGGAATTCTTTGTAACTGGACGGGGGCTTCCGGTTAAGCTCCCTCTTGAAGGGGGTGATTTTCTTTATGCTCGATAGCGCCCCCATCAAGGCCTCCCGGTCGGTTATGTCCGTCGTGGCGGCGACAGCCTCTCCATACCTTGCAAGCCATTCTTTTAATGACTCGTTCGGCTTCTGGTATATTGTTGTTAAATTCTGCTTTGGAGGAACATATTTTTTCACTCCTGTAAACTGGAGGGAAAATGCTTCCTTCAACTTATAGCTTGAGATAGAGTTTGGCTTTAGCGTTTGAAATCATCTCCGGGCGGAATCCGTTAGATGATTTCAAAAGGCTCGGCACATGATCTCCTCAGCATATCCATGCAAGAGCATGTGCCCTATGTACATCTCTAGGTGGTCATCGGGATCCCCTTGACCGTCATACGGTGGGATCAACGGTGACCTATATTTATCGGGGAGAGGAGTGACATCGACGTTTACCACCTCGGCCACTCGTCCTATATTCTTTCTTAGGCCGACGACGTCACCCGCAAGCTGTTGCTCCCGGCTGGCCATACGCTCCATAATGGCTCGTGCCTCCTCCATTGAGATCGCTGAGTCGGCTCCTCTCGAAGCTTCTGCCCTTGCTTGTATCGACCCTGAATCTCTGGGAAGATTCCCGCCTGGGTTTTGAAGCAGTGCACCCGGGTTTTCTAGGCCTCTGGCTACTCAGTTTTCCTGAGCCCGATGTATGGTGGCCCTCGAACGACTGCCGGAGGATTGGGAAGGTCGGGGCCTCAAACCACCGCCGAGATTTTCACTGTCCCCGATTTCTTCTGGGACGTCGTGGTGGCCACCGGGATTATGGTTTCCGACTGCGGCAACGCCTAGTGGTCTCGAGGCATCTTCTAAAGGTGGCAACGAGTTTCTTCCTTCCAAGCGCTCTACGACAGTCATCAACCCCAGCACCAGGTCGGTCAAAGTAGTTAGCTGGGCCTCCATTTGCAGGGGGTCTGGCCTCGGTATGTCAGGGGGTACGACTTCATTCCTAACCGGAGGCGGGTTTTCTTGAACCCCGTCATCCGCCGGATGAGTGGCGATTTCATCCATCTGGATACCCTAGTTGACGGCCTCAACCCTCTTTTTCGGAGGCATCGTCTCCGAATATGTTGTCAGGGGTCAAACATATGAACCAGAGATTCTGGGTTCTGTCCCCAGTGGAGTCGCCAATTGTTGATGGTCAAATTTTGTCAACAGAAATACGCCGGATGACCCTATGGTATTCTGTTGGGTTACCGGCTAGAAATTAACTGTATATTTGAATTTATGCTATGAAGTGTTTTCTGAACATGAATGTAACACTTAAATAAGGGAACACACGGGATTTATAGTGGTTCACCCTGTTAATGAAGGGTTATATCCACTTGAGTAGGGTATATTTATTTTGGACTCTTTACAATTTACATGCACGCTCTCTCTCTCTTCTCATGCCTTTTTCCTAGAGTCCTCTCCCTTTCACGTATGGGGCTTTGCCCTTTTTATAGCCCGAGCTTCCTTCGTGGGTGCTTTTCCTTCGTAGGTGGAAGTACTTGAGTGGCCTACTTTCTAGGCTAAGACCGTAGCCCACTAATCACTTTTTGACTGTTCACTCAGCCATAAGGTCTTCTATTACGGCTCTATGAATTCATGTAATCTTTTGCCACCCACTGCAGGGCGGTTTAAGGGTTTGTAATTAATGCTTGCACTACAGACACCTCGGAGGTCCCACGTTTATACGGTCGGTGCTGTACCATTGCGGCAGAGTCCAGGCGCAGACCATAACCTGGCTGACCTTAGTCAGATCTTCTTTTCAGACGAGCCTTGTAGACGTCGAGGGTTAATAGGGTCGGCGGCCCAAACGGTCGACGCCCATGTCCACGTAACCACTGTGGGGCCACGTGGCGTGCCTTTGTTGGCCGACGTGTCCAAGCGTATTTTCTGGTACAACACCGTTAATTTTTTAACAGCTAAAACTCATGTAAGATTTGTAAAATTACGCTGTTAATAATGTAAAATTTGCAAGTAACAAAATTTAAGCTTATTTGTTCCCTTTTTAGGACTATCCGGAGGTCATGATAATAGTTACCGTTTGATTAAAATCGAGTGGTTTGAGTTAATAACAACTTATGTACTAATCCTTGATATGCAAGCTGTGTATAGTGTCTAAGAGAAACTTACGTGGAAAGATACTCATAGAGCAATGTTGAGCATTTAAACCTTATTCATTTTATTGATTTGAGTTTTTAATTTTAGTTTTACTACAGTTAAAAACTCTATAAAAAGTCACATTTATGAGACGTTTGGTTTGTGGGTTCATAACCATAATTCATAATTTTGATTTTTAAAATTTAAATTTTTGTGAGAGAAAAATACTATAAAAAATCAAGAACTATGATTCAAAATTAAATATGAATCCTAAAAATAAAAATTTCATTTAATTTTTTCTACAATTAAAAATACTCACATAAAATTATATACTTTTCAAATTAAAAATTTAAATTAGCGAAGTAAATGGGGCTAGTGCTGAAACTTTGGACGGGCCGCCTGCAACTGCTTGAAAATGCTGAGTTTCTGCCCGAGCTCGAGCCCGACCCGCCCGAAAAATTTGGGATGCCCGCCCGAGCCCAAAAATGCCCTTGAACGGGCCGCGGGCTTATATTTGGTTGCTCGAACCCGGCCGGGCCGCCCGAGCCCGCCCGAATAACCCGAAATTTTTTTTAATATTTTTTAATTTTTATAATTATTAAGTCAGTTTGTGTTAAAATTATATAAAAATCAAAATCAATATTCAACAGACATTATTAACACAATTGAATAAATTAATCATGTATATTAATAATTTATATTAAATTCGTAATTCATGATTGCCTCGTTAGAAACCTTACCAAGAAAAACCCAATTGGGATAAAAATTTGGCAATGAAAAAAGAGTGCAATCATTTTGTGACGAATTATAAATTTTACAAACTTACAAAGTTATACAATTACAAATACAATGTCAAAAGTAAATACATATTTACAAATTTCAAATTTACAATTTAATTTGAAGCTAAAAGATCGTCTTCAAAATTAAATGTTAATCGATTAAATTCACCGATCCATTCTGGGCTTGCCGGCAAAATCGTATCCTGTAGACGTTGATCGGCCCGATCCCAATCCTTAATGCAAACCAAGGCTTCAACAATATCCCTTTGCAATGCATTCCGTCGTTCCTCAAGTATTCTTCCTATCGTACTGAAGGCTTGTTCAGATGAAATAGTGGAAACTGCGATCGAAAATATATCCATTGCCAATCGAGTTAGGATTAGCCAAGTTAATGCCCGTGCCCTCCACCATTGAACTAAGTCAAACGATTATGCCATATCATCGACTACTAAGCCTTCACTGAGGTACGCCATAAGCTCGTTGAAGTTGGCACTGCCGCTACCACTGCCACTTGTTGACGAAGATTCACTCCCAGTTTCTATTTGAGTTGTCTTCTTCTTCTTTAACCCGAAAATATTCAAGAATGAATGCGGGTTTTCGTCTTGTTGTTGCGTTTCCTATACTCTAGGAGATACTCTAAACCTAATCTCATATTTACTATAGATCGAATATAACTTTTTCCTTTAGTGGCGATTTCATCCATCTGGATACCCTAGTTGACGGCCTCAACCCTCTTTTTCGGAGGCATCGTCTCCGAATATGTTGTCAGGGGTCAAACATATGAACCAGAGATTCTGGGTTCTGTCCCCAGTGGAGTCGCCAATTGTTGATGGTCAAATTTTGTCAACAGAAATACGCCGGATGACCCTATGGTATTCTGTTGGGTTACCGGCTAGAAATTAACTGTATATTTGAATTTATGCTATGAAGTGTTTTCTGAACATGAATGTAACACTTAAATAAGGGAACACACGGGATTTATAGTGGTTCACCCTGTTAATGAAGGGTTATATCCACTTGAGTAGGGTATATTTATTTTGGACTCTTTACAATTTACATGCACGCTCTCTCTCTCTTCTCATGCCTTTTTCCTAGAGTCCTCTCCCTTTCACGTATGGGGCTTTGCCCTTTTTATAGCCCGAGCTTCCTTCGTGGGTGCTTTTCCTTCGTAGGTGGAAGTACTTGAGTGGCCTACTTTCTAGGCTAAGACCGTAGCCCACTAATCACTTTTTGACTGTTCACTCAGCCATAAGGTCTTCTATTACGGCTCTATGAATTCATGTAATCTTTTGCCACCCACTGCAGGGCGGTTTAAGGGTTTGTAATTAATGCTTGCACTACAGACACCTCGGAGGTCCCACGTTTATACGGTCGGTGCTGTACCATTGCGGCAGAGTCCAGGCGCAGACCATAACCTGGCTGACCTTAGTCAGATCTTCTTTTCAGACGAGCCTTGTAGACGTCGAGGGTTAATAGGGTCGGCGGCCCAAACGGTCGACGCCCATGTCCACGTAACCACTGTGGGGCCACGTGGCGTGCCTTTGTTGGCCGACGTGTCCAAG